AGATGGAAATGCGGAGCAAATCCATCTGGCGGAGTCAGGTTACAGCAGAGGCTGATTGAAGCCAGAATAAATGGAGCCTGGATGGAGGGAGGGGCGGAGCTTATCCTGCAGGTGATGGAGGCAGGTGGGATCTGCACGCCATGCACAGAATAACGGGAGGTGAACAGACGCACAGACAGGGCAGAGGTGCATGCCTGTACGTGCGGATCCCACCTGCCCCTCGCTAAGCGGCGTCTCCATCACCTGCAGGATAAGCTCCGCCCCTCTCTCCATCCAGGCTCCTTTTATTCTGGCTTCAATCAGCCTCTGCTGACACCTGCAGCGGCCGCGCTTCCGCTTCCCTTCCAGGAAGCTTTTTCAATTTAAAATGTCAGAAATAGTGTTGAGCTGCTTAATATCGTAGCCCAACAGAGCCTTGTTTTTGCTAAAGCCGGGCGTAAACTGTGCGATTTTTTTCCCTTTTCAGGCCGATTTTCCAGTCGTGAGAGAATTATTCGATCATGTCAACTTTCAGCCTGATGGTGCGTGGTGTAGCTGTACAGGGGGTAACGAGGGGCGATCAGCCTCTAACGACCACCTCCCCATCAGTAATCGTAATGTAGAAAATCAAACATGTTGTAAATTCAGTCGGCCATCTTAAGGTGGTCGTGGGTAAATCTCTCAGTGGGCAAACAAGGATTCTTCTTCTTCTTCTTCTCAGATGTAAACCCAGCAGCATGGCGGGGGGGCAATGAGTGAAATGGAGTTCTTTCTGTCAAACTGACAGACCGTAGTAGCCACGTTAGCTCAGCCATGTCTTTGCCCAAATATCCAAGGCAGCGCGTTTCACTCTAGTGAGCTTCATGTTCCTCTGCTACTGGTTTGGCTTCCAGATAGACGAGTCCGAGTCGCGCCATCTCACTGCGGAGCTGAGTCCCACCTGGTTTTTAGACATAGAGAGTGAGCAGGTAGATCGCATCAGAGCGTCGGGTGGCACAGCGTGAGAACAAACATGGTGAAGTGGGAGCTTTTAAACCCTGCGGTTGCGTCGCACAGTTTGAGCTGTAGCTGCGTGCAACGATTGAAAAAAATCGCAGTGTACGCTCAGCTTCAGACAACATGGAAATTGAAAAAGATGAACGGGTCCCCCCCCTTTGGAATGGGGGTCTTTTAGCTTCTTTGTTAGCCTGCAATGCCCCATACC